AAAAAAAAAAAAAAAAAAAAAAAATTTTGATACGATTTTTGCACTGATCTTTTCTTTTTTCTTCCATAACTAAAAAATAAGTTATGAAAGAAAATGAAAAGGGCAAAACGAAACAGAGGAAGAAAAGAAAGGACGATAAGGTGAACACACTTAAAGCTTGTAATCAGTATATGAGAGGCAATCTTAACAGGCTTCAAAATTTGGCATAACATCGATGATAAACGCTCTTTTTTTTTTTAAGAGGTTTTATTTTATGTGAAAAACTTGTCGAAGCAGAATTGCATTTGAGAAAGGATAAAAACAAAAAAACAAAACCAAAAACAAAAAACATCCAGCTGCAGTACTGAATAGCTTTTTTTTCCTTTTTTTTTTTTTCACCAATTTTTTGCGGTATTTTTTTCTTTTTTTTAGAGGTTCATCAAAAAATTGATGATAGTTAAAAAACGTTTAAATTGACAAAAATAAAAGGGATTTTCCTTATTTTTTTAACTAAACATATGGTAGCGCATCGTTTGGGCACTGATAGGTGCAAAAATTGCTTTGACTTATAATCGTTTATTGAATTTAAACTTTTCCTTCACTTTCCTTTTTTTGAAGCAACAAAAAAAAAAGAAACGTCTGTCAGTGCATTCCCGTTTTCTTTCACATTTTCAACTTGTTTTTTCTCTTTTCTTTTTTTTTTGCTTTGGCCCTGAAAACTTTAGTGGTAAGATAAGGTTCGAAAAAAAAAAAAAACTTTTTTCACTATAAAACTTCGAAGCTATTCTGCTTTTTCAGAGAAGTTAAATGTTCTTTTCTGTTTTTTTTTTTGCCGATATTGATTTTAAACCATCTTTGCTATTGTCCAAATTTTGATGCCAACGACAACAAACGGCAACAAAAATAAACCATATGATAGATAATGGAGAGGAGGAAAAAAAAATTGAAAGTTTATTAAAATTAGCAAATAAATCTTTGGGTATTATGCGGTATAAAAGCAAAAAAAAAAAAAAGACAGCATTTTTGAAATTTTTTTGTGCAAATTTTCCTGCATAGTTAATCTAATTTTGTTGGCCATCAAACTATTGCTATTATGCCGTTTATAAAGATTACTCATATATCAATCTTCTCCTTCCCCCATCTCTGTCCTCTTAGGCAAAAAGAAAAAGAAGAAAAACAAAACAACTATTTCAAAACAAAATGTTGAACAAAGTTTTATAATCTATCAGCAGTCAGTGAATGGATAATTTAGCACTACTATCAGAGCAACTGGAAAAAAAAAAGAAGAGAAAAAAGAAAAGATGATTTGGAGACGGAAGAGTGGATAAATGGAGTTTTTATGTCCGTCCACAGAGAAGTTTCCTAGTACTTTTTTCTTAGTTCTTTTTTTTTCTTTTAAAAGCAGGAAACCGAGGCAACATCCGGTGTTGTTAAGAAAATAAGCAATAAATGAATTAGTAAAGAATAGACTTTTCACTTTTCTTCTGTGGTTTATTTTAATCAAATTTTTTTGCACACATCTCCCCCTCCATTCCATCCTATTCCCCTCACCACCAACAAAAAAAAAACAAAACATACATATTGGCGATTATTCATAGCACCAAAGTTCAGCTAAAAAGCTGAAAAATTAGCAGTGAAAAAGATTTGTCAACTTTAGCACATCAGCTATCGAACGAGAAGAAAAATTGTGAAATTTTTTTTTTTCTAAAGTACACTGATGCCCTTTTTGCTGAATCAGTGATTTTGAAACATTTAAATGATTGCTTCAATAAACAAATTTTCTACTTTTTTTTTTTCATGCAAAACAGTGCAAGTTCTAATTTAAACTGCCCCCTAAACACTTTTCCTATGGTTTTCCGTTTTTGGCTCAATAACCAACAATTTCCTTCCCCAATCGTTTCCGATGTTAGTAAGGAAAAAATAACTGTTTACTACAGTAATTACTGAAGTATGTTACACATATTTTTATATCAGGGTAATAAAACTTAAATGAGAATATCAACTAAAGGAAGAAAGAAATTTTGTCACTAATATAGTGCCATTAAATCAGCAAAGGAATTTTGTTTTAAACAAAAGAAAAAAATGTGCAAAAAAATCTGATTTGGTTTGTCAACCGACTCAACCGCAGTGGGAATTTAACTACAGTCTAGAGTGAAGGCAAGAAAAATGCTTCTAAGCAGCTTGCCAGAAAAAAAAAAAAACACCAGCATCAATTACCTATACATCTGTTTAAATGTTATAATGATAGTTTGGTAACAATAGTATAACATGTAATATAACTCAGTCATCTTTAAATTTTGTTGAAAGAACTGCTCCGGGTAGAATTGCTGAAGCGACAAAAGGAATCAGCTACAGACTGATGTCACTGTTGCTGTTGTTGGTGTTGTTGTTGAGTGAAAAAGTTTCAAGCAATGCCAAGCGTAGACAGATAGAGTATGTGCATCCAAAAGCGGGGCAGCCAACAAAATGGAGGAGGGATTGGTTTAAAAGATTTTTTGCAGAAATAGAATTATCCCATTTAAGAACAATGAAAGGCCGGGATGCAAAAAGCTAATGTGGATGGATGGATTATTTCGGGATGGCTTGCTTTTGGTTAGTGTCGTCATTGAGTCAGTCAGTGCTCGTTGCTTGCAAGCAGCCAAGGGCCAGCAGGCCCTCACCAAGACTCAGATACTCTGGGCCATCATCTGCTTACTCTTTAGACAGCCAAGGAGCTAGGCTTCATTCATTGTTTTCCGATTAGAGGAGTTGCTTCTTCTAACAGTATGGCTTTGTCTCCCCGTCTTAGTGTCCACGGTTGTCCTTATGATGATGTAAACGGTCTTAACGGGGACACCTCATGTGATAGACAGCAGCCATTTCCTTCCTTTCACGGACATTCTGAGAACAAAAAAAAAAAAATAAAAAATAAAAAAAGAAAAAAAAAACTATTTTCTTTGTTTACAGTTTTCATTTTTTGCCATTTGCTATTTATCTATCCGTTCTGAACATTATTGCATTTTTTATATTTTAGTATTAATCTTTCCTATGTCTTAATTGCATTGACGTATTTGCTGTTTTTGTGATTGTGTTATTGTTGTTG